TTCCAGGGGGTGCTGATATCGCAAATTATTTTCCCTCTTTGATATTTCGACAGTTATAATACTCGAGCCGTCCACCGGTCTAAATAGCTACCAGTACCAGAGACTCGATTAGAGGCAGTTGTTTCGGACTATAGAATTAGGGAACACTTGATATTGCACAAATCGTATGAAAACATGTTGACTTTACGGTACAGTTTTGAACCTAAGGTTTTTATGCACATTAATGAGATCTTGTACAAGCCTATTTCAATTTCTATATTTTGATGAATGATACTACAGCCCTTGTAACAAATTGACTAAGACTAAACTAAATGAAATTTGTTCAGTTGTGTGGGCGTATAGCCTTTTACTTTTCGGGTGACCGCTCGTTTACATTGTAGCCTACTATTAGATAACTAATACTATCACTACAATCCATATATTACAAATGAATTACCATCAATAAATCTCACGAAGATAATTCTTATTATTCGATTTCATAATGGAATGTGTAATCATTTTACTGGCCTATTGTAAAAACTGTGGTCTGTAGTCAGAGTTCATTCTCTTGGAAAACATGGCGGCGACGGCACGGGTAGAATTTTGTCAGTCACCTCTTTGGGTTTGTATAAAACATTTATGTATTAAACTAGACTTATAACTCATATGTTATGCTTTGGGAAGCTTTTCCAGACTAAAAAGAAAATACTCTCAGTGTCAGTTTGCTATGTCGAAAGATTATCACTTGAATTTTTTTTACAAAAAATACAAGTACAGTGGTCACTGGTGTAACCTATTTTCGTCCATATAACGATTCAACATTAACGTTAAAAATCGGAATTTTTTTTTTTAGTCTTAGATGTTTCCTCAGATATTCTACAAAATAATTAGAACTTATTTGTTTCGATTTTATTTATGAATCCCTCACTTTGACCCATATTTCATGAGTATCCACCTCGACAACGGTGGCAAAATGTGTCACCTATTTTCGTGTACAATGTTTGATCTATAAATAAGTCAAGAAAAACACGTTGTATGGATACCCGTTGGTATGACAATTCCTTCAAAGAACCATGATTTAAAAGAAAAAATAGTGACTGAGAAAATAAGATACGTAGCGTGATTTACTGCTAAATGTCATTGAAATAACATAAGAGTATGTGTTGTGTTCCATAGAATTTTTCTGCCGACACGGAATCCTCTAGTTAATCACATGACTTCATTCATTAGACTACATTCTAGCAGACGAGACTTGGATGAAAAATAGGTTAGCACGAAATTTGGTTACTTGATTGTACGACTACGACCAGATCCCTGTAGATTCAGATTCGCATATTTCCTCACAGTAAATGAATCTTCAATTACACATTGAATTCGCTTGATTGAATACTTAATGACCCAAATTATAAGATGATCGTGATGTTGATGGCAAATACACACGTGACACTGTGTAGTAAGCTATCTATCGTCTAGCCTTACCGCCCCCTTACCACCATAGATATCATAGGAAATGTACGCTTACGACTTTATTGTGGCCAGTTTGTCTGCAATTTGTAGACAAGATTTGTGGTCAATTTGTGCAAAATTTGCACTTCACGCATAGAAATCGTATCCACACGAAAGACCATCAATTACAACACCTACTCTAGTTATGTTTATTTATCGGAAATTTCAAATCTATGTAAAAGTACCAATATTACTGTCAGAGGAGGTCATAAAACTATCAAGGACTGACGTGATATTACATTTATAATAAGCATGGTAAATTTTCACATGCAATTGTTAAAGTGAAGTGTGTTCACTTTGATTGTAAAATTAGGCCTACAAAGCCTTACATTTCTATAGAACTGTATACCATTTATCAATTCTTTTTCCTCTCTAACTCCTTCAGTGATTTGACAGTCATTGCTTTTCTGATGGATGAAATGGCCATAACTTAGGCACATTATCTTGAAAATTTCATATTGAATTATTTTAGTATTACAGACAATATTAGATAATGTAAATATTATGGCCTAATTTAATTGAATGAAATGTAGTAAATATCTGTTAATGAAATGTATCATTCATATAAATATGATACATCTGTCACTCCTGTCAGTAAAATATTCATAATAAAAACTATATTCTATGAGAAAATCAGCACCTTCAATAAAATTAAAATTTTTTCAATAGTGGGAAAATTCTTGATTGTCATGTTTGTATTTTGTTGCCATGGAGATTTTCCTACTACTACCTGATACAGGTCCACTAATGAAGTAAACTTATACAATAATAATAATAATAATAATTTATTTATTTAAGTGTCACCGTCCATATATACAGAGAATAACAACAATAAAATAATTACAGCATTATAAAATGGACGCCAGCCGGCTTCGACTTATGAGACACCTTAGAATTATATCATAAAACTACATTCAATGAGACAGGTAAAACACAAATATACAAGTAAAATAAACATTATGATAAATAAAAAGGCTCAGGGTATCACAGTCTGTTTTCTACGTTCAAACATTTCAAAAATACATGCGGCAAAATATGATAAAATTCGTTCGTTTGTCATTAAAAAACACAATTTATTTACATTATTATAAAATAAAAAATCTGGATTAATAAAACAGGCTTCGGTACATAAAACTTTTCTTATATCAGTGTATAATTTACAGTTAAAAATAAAATGCTCCTCATTTTCAATTTCCCCATTATCACATAAAAGACACTTCCTTAAGCAGAGAGGTTCGGGGAGTCTAACAAATCTTCCAGTTTCAATTCTCAAAGGGAGTGAACCCGCTCTAAGTTTGGACAAGACGCGTCTGTGAGCTCTATTTTTAATAATTTTGACATACAGTTCTGTTCCGAATTCAGTTTTGTACATGCGGTATGACCGGAGTTTGTTTCCATTAACATGTGTGCGGTCATTCCATACATCCCTTGACCACTGACCCACTTCCCTTTGCCATAGACTATCCCACACATCATCAATACATACAGTGTCACTTTGATCATTTAATACATGTAGTTCTCGACCGATACTTAATACTCGGTGATCCCAGGAAGACTTACGTCTACTGGCCCATTTATGTACAGTTTTACAAAGAATATTATCGTTGAGTTTAAGTCTATTCCAATATCTAAACAATTCAATCTTAACTAAATTATCACCCTTCAGCCATCCCATGTCCCCCATTGCTGCCAAATTACTACTTCTTTTGCTCAAACCAAGGAAGAATTTGCATGCGTTACTGTGCAGCGCATTAATACAGTTATGTGTATTAATACCCCAAATACATCATTAGTTAATACGAAAAATTTCCTTCTATGCGAATTTAGGCATTTGAAATAAAACAGAATAAGATATAAGCTTAACTCCTTAGTTTTGAAAACAACAAAGCTTTTTAAAATTCTTGTCAAACAAATCTATTTAATTTATGTAAAATTCAGAAACATGATATTAATCAGCAGATTTTTTTACTTAATCACTGTAAAAATCTGATAGTTTAGCTTCATTTTTCATTCTACTAGTCAGAATGACAAAGCAGAATTTAAAATAGAAACTAGGGATGGTTGACAAGTTCAAAACAATTGATTATTTAACGTTGTTGGTAATGCATATAAATTAATAGAGTAAAATAGTCCATTTAGATATTTGTACATTAAATACATTTGGGAGTGATTTATGTGGGCCAATCATAAAAATTTAATAGATTTTCAAACGATAACAGAGCACTCATATCTATCTTTTGAAACTGAATATTTACTTCTTTCTTTTTGACAGAAATTATGATTTTTTACACAATAATTGAAGACTTGTTACTCATTCTTCTAATTCATCCCTTTCATGGTTAGAAATGATGATATGTGCCTGCACACAATGATTTAAATTGACCAATGGGCATCTTCAGTTTCAGTCCTGACAAACATCATTTACTACTGACAAAGAGATAGAAATATATCATTAAGCAAAATAAATAATTGTTATTTTGTATAAAACCAACATACAACCAGAAAAACTGATTATCAACCTAATTGATTCTGGAATTAAGTAGAAATTATTAATAATAATTGAATATCATTATATTTGTGACATCTGTTAAATGATTATACCAATGTTAAATAATAGCACATATGATATTTATGAATTGAATTTTTTATCATTAAATTAGAATGCATACATTGGTTCATATTTACGGAGCCCCTAAGGCGCAATTGTAAACATATTTATTTATTATTTCGTTTAAACGAAATAAAAAGATGGGTTAATTATTTCGTTTAAACGAAATAGACGAAAAAATTAATTCGTTTAAACGAAATAAACACAGTGTATTTCGTTAAAACGAAATAATTATTTCGTTTAAACGAATTAATTATTTCGTTTAAATGAAATAATTATTTCGTTTTAATGAAATAATTATTTCGTTTTAATAAAATAATAATTTATTTCGTTTAAACGAAATAACATTTCGTTTTAACGAAATAATTAATTCGTTTAAACGAAATAATTAATTCGTTTAATCGAAATAATAAATAAATATGTTTACAATTGCGCCTTAGGGGCTCCGTACATATTCATATTCTGATTATCTTTGGTCTTTATTTTAAAGTCACTGTATGAGTATTTACGTGTTAAATTAAGATTTACCATAGAAGGGTTCTTTCGGTAATGTTAAAAGAGATAGAGTAAAGTTGTGTATATGCGGATATACATTTTACCAGCCTTCTGTAACTCTATTCAGAGTTAAAATTCAATTTGCAGATTCTCTTACAGTTTGACAACAATAATGTATTGTGCCAATTCTTTGACCACACTTTTCACTACCAAACATTAAATGGTTTATTGACTTTTCACTACCGAAGTTAACATGATTTTTTTTTTTGTAAAAATCTCTGTATGACTTCAAAATGCAACGTTTCACTGATGTAGTAGGTCTGGTAGACACAACCTCGGAACGGTTCTCACAGCTCATGTTTGTTATTGTATTTAATAGATCTTGATAAGCTAAACAAATTATATATTGCAGGACTATGAAGTGACAGTGAATACAACAGATCCTGATTTCACGCCATGTTTTCAAAAAACAGTTTTAACATGGACACCATGTGTATTTCTAATATTCTCAGCTATTGTACGAGTTATATCTTTATATGGTGTGAGAAAACATAGTATAACATGGACATGGCTTAGTAAAGTCAGAATAGTAAGTTTATTATTTATGGTTATGATAAGAATTTATTAAAATCATTGGCTTCAATAAGAAGTTAATATTCAATGTGATTTGTGAGCTTTGTTTTGAATAAAATTATGATATTAACACTAGTATACGGCTTTGATTTGAATATAGACAATGGTATTTGTGGTAAATTACTAACTTTTAAGAATGTTTGATCACATTGCTTGAGCTCGGACATTGAAATAATAAAGGAATGAATCTTAATCATATACTAACTCTTTGTATAAAAAAAACCCAATATTTAAAGAGTTACAGATAGTTATTTCTGCCCAAGTATTCAAATCTTTGATGATGAATTATAACCATGTTTGTATATGAAGGTTTGGGTTCAGACCCTTGAATATAAATTTCTTTCAGCTCTTCAATGGCCTGGCCAGTTGGAAATTAAAATTAGTAGATTAGAAGGTTTTGATATTTATATGTAACTCTCTGTCTACAACATTTAGGTGCTTGACCTCCCTAAAAGTGCAGTTGAAAAAAAAATCTTGCACTAAGTCCTGTATCTTTTGATTTTGACTTTACCAGTCTATAATTATAACCTATGTAGAATATGTTTTTTTTGATATGTCTACTGTATTCTATTGCAGTTCTTAGGAGCATTAATTGGAATAATGAATTTAATGGAATTTCTGTACAGTTTACAAGAATATGCTGATAATATTATTCTTCCTGTAGTTTATTTTCTTACACCATTAGTTGTATTTATTACAATGGTAGGTGGACTTAGTTTAGTTATGTTGCTCGCTATGTCAAACAACTGATTATGGATGGACCTTAAAATGATTGTTAATAGGTTTTCTAAATTTTTATGTGTATAGGGACGCTGATAGCATCAATTTGCACCATTCCAATTTCCAATCAGATGTCTGTGGTTTCTACAATTACACTAAACTAATTAATTTGACCCCATCATTGTCCATGAATTTAGATCATATGAAACTTCTTGATAAATATGCACATATTTTATTGATATGCCTTGCAAAAAAAGTATTAAAGCTTGCAAAGTAGTGAATAGTATATAACGTTAAGTTAGTGTTGATCATCATTTTGAGTCTAGTGGCTTGGTTTATTTTTACATTTTAGATTATTTATTGTTTTATGATAAATTTTGAGAGAAGAAAAGGAATACGTAATTGTGGTTTTATGTTTGTATTCTGGTTATTATATACTATTTGTGGTCTAGTGATATTCAGATCTAAAATACGCCATGCTGTCTTACTGGTAAGTCATTGTTTTTGACAATATTATTTATATAGCATGATATGGGTTTGAATCACCATAGCTTTTAAGTATTGGTAACCGACAGAGATCCTGCTTTTGGATATTTTCAAATGTAATTTTCACCCAATCTTTTATAGTATGAAAAAACATCTGTATTTTAAATTATTTGTTAAAATTGTGTAGATGGTATTATTTGGACAAAAAATTTGATGGTTTATCATGATAACTACCATATATCACCATCATATATAAGGATATGGTGATAGTTTAGTTTGCTTAGATCAGAAGATATCACTAACAATATCAATTCCTATACTGATATTAATCATGATACCAGTACATCACCCAGCCCTACTATTGGTCAGTGTAAGCACAATTGTTGTAGTAATTTTTATAATGTACATTTGTTGATACTTATTATTTATTATAACCAATTCAATGTGAAATCATTCTTCACCATGTTAGGCATAAGATTAGAAGTAAAAATATATAGAGACCAATCTTTGATGTTAAGATTAGTTAAAAGGAGGTTAGAAGATGCTCAAATTTGTAAGGATATTTTAAGCTAAAGTCTCATTGCAAACACTGAAATTGATAAAATGAGTTTTGTCTATTTAGAATGAAGTCCGAGATGAAGTGAGATTTTCTATATTTATTGTTTGTTATCCTATTGTTGTTGTTCAGTTGATACTATCAATATTTGTTGATAAACAGCCTAAAAATCTACCAGATCAACCACAGGTAAGTCAAAGGCTCTTCAGATATAGGTTAATGAGCCTGATTGGTGAAGTAAACATAAGATTATTCCATGGAACATTCCTTGTGTTTATTTAGCATAAGATGTGCAAAGTTTTTAAAGGCATTGATGAACAAGGATAATATGAGACCTCAGTCACATACCAGGACTTATTGTATAAATAGTCAAATCTTCAGAAGACAAATGTTTTTCCAAACCTTACTACTGTTGCAAAGAAATGATATACAAAAACTATATATGACATGAAAATAGTGTACCTGAAAACATGAGATGTTTTTAAATTTTTTATTGATGTCAAATGTTTCTACAGTTCAACAAGGATAGTTTTATCATAGACCATTCAACAGTTAACTGAGCTTTATTTGTATAGTAGATATAATTAATATTTTCAGATTTCATGTCCTGAAAACAGTGCTTCATTTATATCTAAAATAACATTTTGGTGGTTTACACAGTAAGTATGTTTAATTTCTATTCTGCAGACAGCAAAAATAACCATTGATAATTTTAGAAATAAATTCAAGATTAATAAAAAAATTGTACTGCTGTTTGATATCCATTTCTGATGAACTTTTTTTGAGGACAATATTTTCCCCTCTAAAGATGCAAATTAAAATTTTTATTGTTATTTCAAATTGCCCATGTATGATTATTCATGTTGGCTATTTTAATAGATAGTACAACTCAGTATATTGTATAGCTCTACAGTATATCGTATAGCTCTACAGTATATTGTATAGCTCTACAGCATATCGTATAGCTCTACAGTATATTGTATAGCTCTACAGTATATCGTATAGCTCTACAATATACTGTATATATTGTGTATCTCTACAGTATATTGTATAGCTCTACAGTATACTGTATATATTGTGTATCTCTACAGTATATTGTATAGCTCTACAGTATACTGTATATATTGTGTATCTCTACAGTATATTGTATAGCTCTACAATATATTGTATATATTGTCTATCTCTACAGTATATTGTATAGCTCTACAGTATATTTTATAGCTCTACAGTATATTGTATAGCTCTACAATATATTGTATATATTGTGTAGCTCTACAATATATTGTATAGCTCTACAATATATTGTATATATTGTGTATCTCTACAGTATATTTTATAGCTCTACATTGATTCCTTGTTTCTACATTACAGACTAGTTATTGAAGGGTATAAGAAAGCGTTAGAAAGAAAAGATCTCTGGTCGTTAAACTATGTAGATACATCATCACATATAGTACAACGCTTTGATAAATATTGGCAATATGAAGTACGCAAAGCAAAAAGGTGGGATATCATAAGTTTTGAAATTTTTTTCATTTTGCAATAAAATCTTCAATAATCCTGCCACTCAAGACTGATGCCTTGTGTCGTCTTTAGTGCTCAAGTTTGATTCTGCAAATTACCAAATTCCAAAGTTTTGATTGTCTTTGACATACAAGTGACATTCATTCACTAATCATTGTCTGCCCTACAAGCATCTAAACAAGAATTGGACATTGAACTCCAGGTGATATCTTTTTGATACATGAATAAAGCATCTTCTGTATTTTATTTTGTAATTTGTTTTAGATCCATCCAGAGTCAGTGTGTATCAAATGAAAATAATGATAAAATACAGTTTAAAGATGGCCAGTCATATACAGAGATAAAAAATGGCCAGAGGACTTATAAACCAAGACTACTAATCTGTTTAATTAAAACTTTTGGTGGGTTCTGTCTGAAAGCTGCCATATTTAAATTTATATATGATGTCCTCCAATTTGTTAGTCCACAGTTATTGAAGTAAGTCAACATCTTGTTACTGGACAATCTTTATTGATGTTTAAGTACTGAAAGGTCATAGTCAAAATGGTCCCTGTTTTTTTAAATAAATGCTGAAATGTAGGTCAGGTCAAATTGTCACTTAAGGTTGAAAGTAAAAGGTTGTTGATGTAGTGGAAACAAATCTAACTTTAATAAGGGCTTAGAATAGCAATTTCAGCAGTGAAATATGTTTTCATTGTAGCTTTTTAGGACATAGAACTCATGGAATTCATTTCAAATTATTTTTTTCTTTAGATTATTGATCAACTTTACTAAAGACAAAGATTCGTATTTATGGGTTGGATTATTTTATGCTGGTTGTATGTTTACTGTGGCTTTAATTCAATCATTTATATTACATCAGTATTTTCATGGTTGTTTTTTACTGGGTATGAGAATACGTACTGCCATTGTATCTGCAGTTTATAGAAAAGTAAGCTCATTGTTAAATGTTACAAGTATTAAAGAATTTTATCAATAGAACTATAGAAGTGCATTAAAATATTTTATCTATGATCATGGGCTAATGAAGTCAGTTATGTTGCTAAAGTAATGTTGCTTTTGACAGACAGTCCCATTGTCTTTTGATGTAATTTTTTCACCCCCCTGAATCTCTACCATTTCTCTATTGTGTTTCTGTTTCCAGACCCTGGTTTTGTCAAATACATCTAGAAAGAATTCAACTGTTGGTGAAATAGTCAATTTGATGTCAGTTGATGCTCAGAGGTTTATGGACTTGATGACCTATTTCCATACGATATGGTCTGGACCCTTACAGATAGCAATAGCTATATATTTTCTATGGCAGACGTTAGGACCCTCTATATTAGCTGGTCTAGGTGTTATGATATTATTGATTCCTATTAATGCTGTCATGGCCAATAAAACTAAAGAATTTCAGGTAGGGCAAAATTCCGCTTTCTCCATTTTGAGCTGATTTATTTTTAAAGTAGCCACATATTAATGTACTGTTGAATATGAATGATTGAAGGCTGTTGATTTTGATATGATTATTTATCCAGTTTGCTCTTGCTTGCTATAATTAACTGTACTGACTTATACATTTGAATATTTGAAGTTCTGTAACATGATCTATTTCAGTTTGAACAAATGTTGTTAAAAGACAAAAGAATCAAATTAATGAATGAGATTTTAAATGGGATTAAGGTAATCATTAGACATTTCTTTCTTTATCTATTTTCGATCAGAATTTTATTTTTTCTTAAACTATACTCTCTTAGAAAAAATGTTTTGTTTTTAGCCTGTGGTACTATAAGAAGTACTCCACCTTCTTGATACAAAATATGGTTTATATGTTTATGAAGTTAAGAATTTATACTATACTATTATATCTGTACTACTATTTCTGTTATAATTATAGGTATTAAAGTTATATGCCTGGGAACCATCATTTGAAGAACAAGTATTGGGTATCAGAAAAGAGGAGTTATATGTATTAAAGAAAGCTGCCTATTTAAATGCTGCTTCCTCGTTTACTTGGACATGTGCTCCAGTTATGGTGAGTTGAATGTATTATCCTCCATTAGGACATGTGGTCATGGGGTTTAAATGTCTAATATAATAGCTAAGAAAACGTAGTCAAGTGGCATAAGAAAGTTTTGATTTGTTATGTAATATTGATAAAGAAATAAATTGTAGCTACCCAATGAAATAAAGATCCATTTTATCCCTCAACAAATATTTTGATGTGATAATTTGATTGATATTGTAGGTATCATTAACAACATTTGCTGTATATACTCTATCTAGTGATGAGAACATACTGGATGCTGAGAAAGCTTTTGTTAGTTTATCATTATTTAATATTTTACGTTTTCCATTATCAATGTTACCTCAAGTTATTACCAGTATAGTTCAGGTAAGTCCTATTTAAGGTAATTCTTACTTGATTAAAAGTTGATGGAGGTTTAAAAGCTGTATTTTCTTTTGTAACACTTACAGTTACAACTCTTTTTGTCAAAAGCAAGGCATTCTACTGCCTTTAAGTAAAGATTCAATTATGATTTTCATGAAGTTGACCATGATTTATTATCATGTTTTTTTATTTTTCCTATGCTAAATGATGGAAAACTCCTTCATTTCATTATGGTTACATACACTGTGTTTATTTTGAATATACTCACGTTCCTTATTATGTTGATATTAAAACAAATTTTCCTTAACAAGGGCTGGAGAAGTCAACAAACTTGAAAGACTAATGCTTTGTTTTTCAGGCTAGTGTATCATTAAAAAGATTAGATAAATTTTTAGGTCAACCAGAGTTAGATCCAGTAGCGGTTGATAGACACAGTGATAAGGGTAAGCAGGGATTTTCTCAAGATATAATTGTTGATCTGTTTTATAGTAATTAATATGAGAACTTGAACAATTGCTGACGTCTAAAATTTAATGACATGAATTATCTGGATAAAAAAAAATCCTGATATTAAGCTTATACTGATAGAATAATTTATAGAGTTTTTATATCTTACTGTATATATAATCATTGTATTTCCTATCTTACAGGACAAACAATATCAATAGAAAATGGAACTTTTACCTGGGAAACAGATCTCAAACCAACTTTATCAGAGTAAGTAGTTTTCTGTTAAGATTTATCATATAAAGATTGGTGATGAAGGTTGGAAGCCAATACCAATCTGACACTCAGAAGCACACCTCATTGCTTCAGAAGTTTTGCATGGAAGAAATATGATGAGATCTAAGAAAATGGCCAGCATGTCTGTTACTCTGGACAATTTGAAAGAAAGCATTCAATCAATGAACATTAATGTATTTCAGAATCGATTTAGAAATAAAAAAAGGAAGTCTGGTTGCTGTAGTTGGAGCAGTAGGAGCTGGGAAATCTTCATTTTTATCAGCATTATTAGGAGAGATGGAGAAAACAAGTGGTACAGTAGCAGTACAGGTTGGTTTTATCATTGTCTTTTAAATATATGTAATATGGTATGCATTTAGTACTTGCTTTTGGACCATCAAAAATTGAGGCTTTGTGCTTCTTCAAATATTGTCAAGGAGAAGCTTGGTTCCATATTCGCATACTTGTTTGATATGAAAATGAAATAATATATAGTAATGGTATACTAATGTACACTATTTGGATGAAAAATAGTTTATTACTAAGCATGAAAATGTTCTAACAGAAGAATTTGGCACTTACATTACATGTGTTGTGTTTGGACTGGTATTCTTGTGATTAAGGTAAAATATGTATTCATTTTACAACAGGGAAGTGTAGCCTACGTACAGCAACAAGCGTGGATACAGAATGAAACTCTACAGAATAATATATTATTTGGTAAAACATTAGATAAAACTGTGTATGATAAAGTAATATATAGTTGTGCTCTACAACCTGATATAGAAATGTTACCTGGTGGAGATCAAACAGAGATTGGTGAGAAGGTAAGATAATTATTCTTACTTTAATCTCTATTTCTTCACTTTCATAAATAAGGGCTATTGTGGTTAGTTTGTGTATCATATCTCATAGGTCTCTTTTCGTTGGCTGAAAGATTCCAATGAATATTCAAGTTGCCTCTTGTAACTGAAGTAAGTGACAGATCAGATTTTGAAATAATATTCAGAAACTTATGATATTCCTTTTCAATTGATACTAGATGCATCAGAAAAGTTGGGTACCTGAAATTACAAGCCCTCTATTTGGGCATGAAACAATGTTTTAATGTTAATGATACTAGGTTTATAAGTTTTTATGGGTTGTAATTTCAGGGTATTAATTTAAGTGGTGGACAGAAACAGAGAGTCAGTGTAGCTAGAGCACTGTATCAGAATACTGATATATATTTATTAGATGATCCACTCAGTGCTGTAGACTCACATGTTGGTAAACATATCTTTGATAATGTTATTGGTCCAAATGGTCTTCTTAACAATAAGGTAAGCATAATATTTCAGACTTATCTAAGCTTTGATAGAGCCAATCACATTACAAAATTATATCAACTGTATCAAAACTTTTCAATAATTGACTACAGGGCTTCAAACATAGTAAAACTGGCCTGTTAGTTTTTGCAGAGAAATTCCGAACTTGTCTTCGGGGATTAAATGAGTTTTTTTTATCTGCAGACAAGGGTATTAGTTACTCATGGTATTAGTTATTTACCTAAAGTTGATAAGATAGTAGTATTGGTAGACGGTAGAATATCAGAGGCAGGATCATTTCAAGAATTACTAGATCATAATGGTGCCTTCTCGTCATTTCTTAAGAATTATTTATTAGAAGAGGTTGGAGGAGACAGAGAAGTAGAATTTGGTTCTCAGGAAGGTAAACTTGATATTACTTATTCACATACATGTGTAATCTACCGAAGTTGTCGGGTTTCTACCGCTTTTGGATGTTGTCTACCACTCTACTGGCAGGATACCTGATTCTACCGATTTTTGGTTTTTTTCCTGATCAAATTTTCACGGGACCTACCGTTTTCAATGTTCAAATTCTCTACCATAAATCAACAAAATATCTATCATCACTTGTATCTTAATTGCAGGTAACAGGCGTTAATCTCATCACGTAATAATATTATCATTGCCTGATTAATTGATAAATTTAATAAATTTACGGTAGCCCTACTTTTACTAAAAAACGAAATCTTGAAGTCTTCTCAGTATTTTATACCCTCAGTGTCAATCTGCGAGGTCTATAATAGGCCTATATAACATAGACATCGTTTCAGATTCGTTTCATAAAATCGTTTTGTAACTTTACTGTAGCCTGTAAACATTCATTATATTGCCTGCATAACGGGCTTACTTATTACAAGTCTTTCCATTCTGAAGAACGTCAAAATGGAAGCGGAAAATTCAGTTCAATACTTCGTGAGAGTGTTGCAGGAAAAGTATTTAATGATCGCACTGGAGATATTTAAGATGTCATGAATTACACCTTTGGAAAAAGTAACATTGCCAGTACATATTATTTACTAAATATTTATTTGCTTTTGAACATACTGATTTTTAATATGGTATTACATGTTACAGGTACCATTTAATTTGGAGGGCTGGGATCATGTTTGCTTTCTTGTTTTCAAACATCATTTCACCTTGACATTATTTTTGATTCAATCAGTACTGAAGAATGATAATATCAAATTTTTTTTGGGCCCCTAAATTTGAAATATCAGGCACTATTTCTAGAATTATCCATAATTATAGATTGTTAATTTTAACTGTGTCATGTAGGCCTATGATCAATTTAATTAATTTACAAGGCTTAAAGCTTATTTGAAAAAAAAAAAAGAAAAATACAATCAATTTGGAGTTTCAAATCACGAATTTACGCGCTTTGGAAAAATCTCCAGACTTTTCACCCAATCTCCAGATTTTTCAAGGCAAATCTCCAGATTTTTTTTCCTGACCTGTACACATGTATGCTTATTCAATTCAATCCCTTTGTTGAAATTGGGATGTAAAACTCCATTCATTTCAGTGCCTTTGTGGAAAGCTTGCTCACTCATATTTCTGTAATGTGATATATTAAAACTCATATATATCTCATTATAAAATTCATGAATTTATTTAGCCGTATGTCTTCACTCCATGGGGGTAACACATGAAGTAACAATACTTTACATGCACATGCTATGAATATTCATTTACATGCTGAATATTCATACATGTTAACAGATCCCTCCAATTGGCCATTACTTCCAGTGTTAACAATCCTGTTCACTGTAGTAATCAAGACATTGTTCATCATAACTTTGATGATCAATATTTATAGGATAAGGAGTGTTCATTTGATATTTTCTATTTCAGATCTGGATATAAGAGAAGAAATTTTATCTCAGATTGGTTCATATACAGATCCTGAAGTACCTCAAACTTTAAGAAGGTAAGTTTTTTTCCCATTGAGGAACTTCTTTCAATAAGATCCAGAAATGGAATAAGATTAATGAGAAGTGCGTTAAGCGTCAAACTCAAACCATATCAAATTGGATTAAAATCGAATATTAAGCTATTTAATTGGTAGTTTCAAATGAAGTTTATCTCCACACATTTTTGAGAAAGGGCATTATTAAGTAGATTTATTGCTGTTGAGTGTGTCTACTCACTTTCACTGTTTCAAAGACAAAGATCGATGAGGTGTATATAGCTATAGAACATATCAAGAAATACGTTTTATGTTTTGATTTATAGGAGTTATGAAAATTTAGCCTTAAAAACACAATTAAGTGAGAGTCGGACATCATTAAAAGAATCAGTATTGAAAGAGGTAGAGAAACAGAGAGTTGAAGAAGTTAAAGATGTAAAAGAAATAAAATCTGCTGTTAAAACTGATGATAAATTGATACAAGCTGAGAGTGTAGAAACTGGAAGAGTATGTCTATATTATTATTCTATAACAATTTAGTATAATCTTCTCCATCCTTAATACTATGTTAATATTGTGACTCCTGGGGTGAAGCGGATCACGTGATAAAGCAGTATTTGTTTCACCATAAAGATAACTAAAATTGATATCCATTTCAAATATTTACATTGATCTGTCTGGTCTTAAAATTATACAAAATGCTATTGTTTCAATTCAATTGATGTCTGGTTCATTTATAATTAAAGTATTGATATTGAGCTTTTTTTTATTTTTTCAGGTGAAATTTACAGTATTCTCAGCATATATAAAAGCTGTTGGTCCATTATTGACTGTTTTTATAATATTTTTCTTTATAATGACCAATGCAGCTGCTATATATTCTAATATCTGGCTCAGTGAATGGAGTGATGACTCAATACTTCCTAATTCTACTAGATTTGATTATCAAAGAGACATGAGATTGGGTGTTTACGCAGCTTTAGGTGTCCTTCAAGGTAGGTTTATCTATCTAGATCCCATCCCACCTAGAAAAATAGTAATTATATATACACTGGATATGACCCTTAATATTCTATTTATATCTTACTTTTATGTCTTAAGTTTGCAAGGAAATAATATCAAAAAATATATCTTCTTCATTTCTACCTTATTACTTCACTACAAAACTAAATTTCTGTAATATTGTTACTTCAACCTTACAGTTCCATTGTTTGTAAGCAATTCGTTATGATTTAGTCTATGGTATATAAAGTTTTTGCTTATAGGTAGGCCTATTCAAGAACTATTTGATATATTTAAAACTTTTAGGATTTCAGATTTCATTTTAACCTTGAAATCAGATTTGACCAATATCTTTGTTCTGAAGGTTGTGCACATGTAGACTAATACAAGACTGCTTGATTTAATAGTTTGTATGTTTTATTTCTGTTGTAGGCATACTGATATTTACCAGTTGGTTAATAATGGCTCTAGGTGGACTCAGAGCTTCAATGTTACTCTTCATGCGATTGGTCAATAATCTACTACATTCACCAATCACATTTTATCACACAACTCCACTAGGACGAGTTGTAAATCGTTATAGTGAAGATATCAATGAAATTGACTATGTTTTACCGTTTTCCATCCAGTCTATGATTAATATTGTAATTCAGGGTATCGGTTCAACTATGATTATAATATATACCACACCATATTTTACTATTCTAATACCTATCTTTATAGCTATTTACATTCCTGTACAGGTGATTTCATATTTATTATTTCTTTAGTTTTTAAATACAACACAATACTTAAGACATTACAGCCACAAAATGATTCAGCCATCTTAGGTAGCAGGCTGTTATTACTGCTATTGTAGCTGAATTATCTCTCAGGAGTGGACATCATATAAGTCATTGAATTTTATCCAATCAGCAAGTGTCTAACATCTGGGTGTAGGTCAACCTCCTTGAATCTGTTTACACTGATGTAATTTTCAAATACCAAAGCAAACTACTCAACAGGCAAAATGGGTTTTTAAAGAAAGATATTTTAAATCTCCTGTCTTCGCCACTAGATAAAATATAACAACAATCACTTAATTAAAAAGTCTCATGTTTTTACAAGGCAGAATTTTATTGGGTTCATTGCAACTATATTTCTCTTTGCTGTTGTTTCTAAAGTTATTTCTACTTTCATGATTTGAGAAGACATGAAAAAATTTCTAAAACCTAAATGTGAATTTTTTTTACATATTTTAGGTGGTTTCTTTATTTGATACCTATACAGTCAGCAAGCTGTTATTTGTCATGGTTTTAAAGATTTTGTGAAATTTCTTGTTCTTCTGTCTTCCTACTCTGCATGATAACATGGTTGTTTTAGGAATTTGACAGTCACATCTTATTTCAAACTAGTGACTTAATGACTTCAACTTCCTATACTAAATTATCATACTTTCTAATGTATTGTTATACTTACTGTGTCTTACAAGTAATATTCTCTTTCTATTTTGCAGATACTTGTTTTTCACAGGTTTTGTTCATATCATTACCAATTTTTACTATCAAATTTAGTTTTCAGTTATTTATCTAATAAGATTCTGTTTTAGGTCTCAAGTGTTCAAATTTATTTTGAATGAATAATTTATATATTGTATAGACATGGTTTATTCAATTGATTATGCCAAAATTGTTTCTTTCTTTGATCAGTTTGTTCCTGTTACCATACTCTTGTGTTTATGAAATTAATTTATACTTTAAGCCTAATTATTTAAATTATACCAAACACTTTTATTCTATAAATATTCATGATGTAATTCAACTTTCTCCAAACAAAAGCTATACATTCTTATTTTCCCCTATATTGAAAAATATTCTTATAAATTAATAAAATTTAATTGAGTTTTATATTTTCTCTCTTAGGTTTATTTGTGTTAATAGCAGTTTTATTGAAGGCAATAGGAGCCAGAGATGCTTCTAAGATACTACACAAGAATTTCTTACTAAACGTCATGAGATCACCAATGAAATTTTTTGATACAACACCATTAGGCCGTTTAGTTAATAGGTTCGGCAAGGATGTAGATGTAATAGATATAACAATACCACAAACTATCAGGATGTGGCTACACTGTTTTCTCACAGTTGTTAGTACATTTGTAGTGGTCTCAATCAGTACACCTTATTTCATGACAGTCGCCATACCATTACTTATATTATACTATTTTATTCAGGTATTTGTAATATTCATTGTTTTTAGCATGGTTTTAGGTTGCTTTTTGTTTTAGTTATTCTGCTGAACAGAAAAAATGTGATTTTTAAATTGATTCTATCTCAATATTTTGAAGCAGATAAGTGATTTCATTGGCCAGAAATTTGAAAAATTTGAAATCAATATTTAACTGTAAACAAATAATTTAATTTATAATATTAAATGTTAATTTTGCAGTTGTTAGATTTCAATCAAAAATCACATTTCCTAGAATATTTTGTAGTATTTTGGTTACAGCATGTGTTGTGCTGTAGAATTTGGTGGCATTAATTCACTGCCTTTATTGGAGTTTGTTATTTTTCAATAGTTATAGATTTTTTTTATGTTTGGCTATATTTTTATATGAATACATTGCATTGTGTGTTAGTATTTTTGAATATTGTAGGATGAATCTTTGAGATTGCCTCAGATTGCCTTGTGAAAAAATTTAAAAATATATGTCAGAAAGGAGATATTAATAAAATTATTTGATTGGTGAAAGAATAAATCCATTAATAGATCCAACATGGCTAATTATATATATATAAATAATACTAGGTATTCACACTATAAATGCAGTTTGATTCTGTTTGATTCATTTCAATTTGATAATTTAACTTAATAACTTGGTACCTTTTAATCTGTTGTAGATTAGATAATTAAGAGTAAATTATTTGTTAATTGAATAAGGTTTTTGCTTTGTTAATATCTAATCTTTTGTGCATGTAGTTTTAGCTTTCACAAAATATTTAAAATCACTTGCTCACTGTATCATACTAATCTGTCAATATACTCTATATAAGTACTTTATCATTGCTGTTGAATTTTTTTTACACAATCAGACATTAGAATGTAAATTTGTAAAACTTTATGATCGGAAAGTGAAAATTTCTTACAAACAATCTACAAAGAATGGTTGCATTTTATATATATAGTAGTATTTTCTGACAATAAATTGAATAGAGATATTCTGCAATAAATTGACTCCTGACTTTCTCAAAGGGATTGTATAGGTTTTTTAAAAGGTTATTTTTAGTGAAAATGCAGGGACCACCGATGTCTGATTGAATATAAGAATGGTGCAAAATGATGCTTTCAGTTTAGAAAACCTCTTTACAATTTCTTTCATTTGTTGATTTTTGTTTGTTTGAATATTTATACATTAACTCCTAGTTATTTTATTTTCCAGAGATTCTACATAGCCACATCTCGCCAGTTAAAGAGATTAGAATCTATCAGTAGATCTCCTATTTATTCTCATTTTGGTGAAACAGTAACAGGAGCTGTGACAATACGAGCATTCGGACAACAGGAAAGATTTATAACAGAATCTGAAAATAAAGTGGATGAAAATCAGATTTGTTATTTTCCCAGTATAACATCTAATAGGTTTGTATTTCTTACTAGCTTATTATTAGTAAAATTTGATACTAGGAATAAAAATCTGTACAGGCAAAACAATTCCAGCAACACAAAATCTTGTCCAAAGCATGACAATATCAGGAGCAATATTAGTATGGTAGTAGACTCCTCAAAAGAGAAGTACTAACAGGTGTTTCAAAAAGAGTAAATGTGGTCTGCTTCATGTGCTACACTATGCTATTATTCACTCATTCCTCAATGAATCTCAAAATAGGTGAGGTAGAAATTACATATTTGGTGCCTTGGGTTGTATCTCTTTTTTGTTTCTAATTGCATTTCACCATTTTATTTGAAAGAGTTATAAGTCTCTGATATGATCAAAGCTTCCAGAATTCTGTAACTTTTGTTATGTGTTCTGTGTATTTAGTTATTTAATATATTATATTGTAGATGGTTAGCTATCAGACTGGAATTTATTGGTAATTTAATCGTATTTTTCGCCTCGTTGTTTGCTGTATTAGGTAGAGAAAGTTTAAGTCCTGGTATTGTTGGTTTATCAATATCATACGCTTTAAATGTAAGTTATTCTATTATTTCTGATGTTCAGGCATTCTACAATTTCTAATGTATTGAACAGAGTGTCCACAGTCATCTTTGCAAACATGCCTGATAATGCCAATGTGTTGAATTTGTTATTTTGAACCGAGCTACAGAGTCTTTTGTATTGAACTGACTTGATAATCCAGCACTGCACGCCATTAATTTATCTTCTGCCTACATATTTTTCTTTGGACATTAATGACCTTTTGCTTGCTTGAGAGCAAAGGTTTTCTAAACAAAGTTATTTTGAACATCATTATTGCACAGGTTGATGCAGAATTTTTATAAACATCTTGTATGTTGCTTTCTTTTTACCTATAATTTATCGTTATTGATCCTATGAGGATGTATATGTTTGTATTTTTAATAGGTCACACAAACATTAAACTTTCTAGTTCGAATGACATGTGAATTAGAAACTAATATAGTCGCTGTTGAAAGAGTTAAAGAATATTCTGAAACTCCAACTGAGGTAAGAAATTTATTGTATTATGATTTAAATATTATCAATGTTGATAGATGTTGTGTTTAAGATGGCTGTGAAGAGTATAGTTGATTTAAGCTATAACTTAAATACTTAAACTAAATCCTTACATTTAAATGACACCCAGTAAGCACTCAATCCATTTACATTTACATAAGCGAAAACCCTCTAGGAGGTCACATGCAATTATGAAGTATACTATTTACCATTTAAAGTTGGTTCTTGCATGATACATTAGAAAGAAAAAGTGTATGATGGGTGATATCAATTTTGAAAACCATGGATGTGTATAAATCTAACTTTCATCATCTTATAATTAGATGTATTAGACGTATTATCACTTTTTCTTGGTTTTTAGGCTTCTTTTGAATCAAAGAGGTGATTTTATCCTTTGTTGTATTTTACTACAGGCTGATTGGATAGTTGAAAATAACAGACCAGATAAAGAATGGCCTATTAAAGGTGAAGTTGAGTTTTCCAACTTTCAGTTAAGATATAGAGAAGGTTTAGATTTAGTTTTAAAAGGAATTGATTGTAAAATTAAATCTGGTGAAAAGGTAAGCCTTTCTTTCAGGCCATTAATACAATATTTAATTTTTAAATCTTGAATAAAATTCTGATGATATATTATGTAATAGGCTTTCTTTTGAAGATTGTAGAGATACAAGGTCTAGAACTATCAAATATCATTATTAAAGGAAATTCCCATAATAGTTTGAATTTGAAGAAGAGTAGACTAATGCTGCTGGCCTCATTGCACAATACATGGCATTAGCAGTCTTCACGAACCAGTTATTTACAGTAAAGTAGGACTGTTCTCCATTTCATTTCACATTAAAAGAAATTATGTGATATTCTCACTAATGATGAAGGAATATAAATTGAAGATTGGAAAAGTATATTTCATCTTTCTATATTGTAGATTGGTATAGTAGGTAGAACAGGAGCTGGTAAATCATCATTAACTCTAGCTTTATTTCGTATTATTGAATCAGCTGGTGGTAAAATAACTATAGATAATATTAATATAGCTGATATAGGATTACATGATTTACGATCAAAACTAACCATTATACCTCAGGTAATTTTTATTGCCTTAGCTCTGTTCGTCCGTTCGTTGGTCGGTCTATCCACATTTCTTGTATGCATGATAGAGGCTACAGCTTTTATCTAGATGAAACTTGGTATGCATGTATATATTGATGAGATCTCGATCAAGTTTGAATTTGATCTTATTGGATGAAAGGTTTTGAAGTTATTGCCCTTGACTTTTTTAAAAATGTTCATATTTGGCTTGTAGTCATGATACAGGGTGCAGTTTTTATCTTATCTCGATGAAACTTGGTATGCATGTATACATTGATGAAATTTCAAGTTCAAAAATGGTAATAATTGGATGAAAGGTTATTGCCCTTGAATTAATTCAATGCCTCTAATTTGGATTGTAGGCACAATAGAGGCTACATTGTTTATCTGATCTCGCTGAAACTTGGTATGCATGACAAGATCTCAGTCAATTTCATTTTTAATCTAATCTTAATGAAATTAGATGTTTGAAACTGTCTGCCCGAAAACATGCATTTTAATGATAGCTTTTAATGATAAACCTGTTAAGTTTAAATATTAGAATAACCAGTAAAAACAACTATAAAAATGTTAACTTTGCTCAGAAAGTAACCAAATACCAAACTCTAAGAAGCCCAAGACAGTTTAGTTGGTTATAACTTACAAATACAGTTAACGGCAGTGTTCTCAAGAATCCCATAAAATAATATATATTATTGCATTTCAGGATCCTGTATTATTTTCGGGATCATTACGAATGAATTTAGATCCATTTGAAGAGTTTGATGATGATAAAATATGGCAAGCATTAGAACATGCTCATCTGAAATCATTTGTTACTAGTTTACCTGCTCAGTTAAATCATGAATGTAGTGAAGGTGGAGAGAATCTCAGGTAGGTTCATCTTACAATCATAAGATTGCATACTTGCTTCCGTTGTATTAAAAATTAGGATGCTTAAGTGGCTCAGTGTGTCAGACTCTCGCTTACCTGAAGGTGAATTGATCAATCTTAAGATAGGCCAAGGAAATTCCAACAGCATTTACTCCTGTCAGTGATTCCAGTGAAAAAGTCTAAATTGTTCAGATGGCACAAAAATCAAAGCCCTCTGGCTGTGAACATTTAAGATTGATCTTGTTCTTTTTGAGGAAATTTTTTTCAAAACTATAAAAATAAAGTTCCTTCATTATTTTTTTTCAGTGTTGGTCAAAGACAGCTGATATGTCTTTCTAGAGCTTTATTAAGGAAATCTAGAATATTAATATTAGATGAAGCTACAGCTGCTATAGATCTAGAAACAGATGATTTAATACAGGCTACTATTAAAATAGAGTTTGAATCTTGTACTGTATTAACTATAGCTCATAGATTAAATACTATTCTAGATTATGACAGGTAAGCAACGATACAAACTCCCATAACATTCAATTATTATCTATTTATTACCTCTTGAAAAAGGAAAATAAGGAAGTTTCCTGGTAGGAAAGAACATAAACCACTATACCTGTGTGACAAGTCATATTTCTCAGTGTGAATATGGACATTGTTATTTTGAGCAATCAATTCTATATGTGATATATAGATTATGGTGTGACCATAACAGGAGCTGTATCTGACTGCTATCTCCACTGCAATTTAAAAATCTTAAAAACTAAGACCATTTCTTGTTATGGTTTCAAGTGTCACTCAAGAATCAAATCTCAAGCTTCAATATTCCTATTCTTATTTGACATTGTTCAGTATGTAACGATCATATTTGAAATCATTTGTTTCAATTGTATCACTTGTGCCACTCTATTAGTCATGTTGATATATGGTTTAATAATTATTTTAGAATCATGGTATTAGATAGTGGAAGAATTAAAGAATTAGACGATCCACATAACTTGTTACGTGATGAAAATACTGTTTTCTATGGTATGGCTAAAGATGCTGGTTTAGTTTGAAATGGATAGATATATCATACTGATATGTAAGGCAAGACGTTTGGCATTGGATGCCTAATCACACAGTAGGTCAATTGGTTATAGGTGTTATAGAAGATACTCCCCTATAGAAGCACTGGCCTAGGTCACAAGACTATGGATTTCAACATGATAGATTGGAGGAAACTGAACTGATCTTTGAAACTGATAAGAGAATCTTCACTTGAGGAATCAAGGACAGTTAATTGTTGAACTGTATAATAATTAAAGGGCAATTGTAAGATTTTCTTCTATATATTTACTTTAAAGGGGTAATTAAAAAAAAAAGTGTTCCAATTAAGCAGTTTAAACTAGTTTTGGTATGAGATCTTGATATTTTAGTTGAACCCATTGGAATAAGTAGAACATATTTTCTATAATTAGACGTTTTACTTAAAATCTGTTCATTACTTTCCATGCCAACCAAATAGATAAATGTTACAATAATTTAAGCAGACATAATTTAACAAAACATTCAGCTTAAATTTTGAGATAACATCAGAGACATTTCTCTAAATTTTGGTGTATAGTTTTCATTAATTTGAGCACCTATCATTTCCAACATATTTAAAAAACCAGACTTCCCCCTTAAGTTTATTATGTTGTCTTATTTACATTTTCCAGTTCGTTAGTTTTCTATGTATGTTTGTTATGTATGTGATGCACTGCCTTCCATTGAAATGTTTCATTCAGTTTTGTCTTGTTAATTCCAGTTTTATACTTTATAATTTTATTTATTATAATCAACATATCGTTATATATACATAAATATTCTGTAGACCTGAGTTTTATATCTCCAGTGTTGTAAGATACCATTCCAATGTAATACTTGTTATATGACATTTGTAGATAATTCAGTCCTATTTATATTCTGGTAATTGAAGTCCAATATAATCCGGGTTTGTATAGATTCAATCACATTTGCTATACTCAAAATAAAAAAAGACTGCTCTTATTTTGCTTGGAAATATCCCTATTTGTACATTAGTATCATTGTTAAATTTAAACTTCTGGTTAGTTTACTGATAGAGATTTTAAACTTATTTTAATACTGAATTTTAGCCATTACGTTATCTTGCATTTATAAAGTGCATTGTTGATTATTTTATTGTTTGGTTCACTTATGATGTTGATTTGTAATACTTAACTTTGAAACCATGAAAAATTTCGTTTAACAATATGTCTGACAAAGTGATCATATTTACATTAAGTGAAATTTGTTTCCTATATACATATCATTTTGTCTCTATTTGATAATTTCTGTGTTAGTTCATTATTATTTTTAGAACTTTTATCTCTACCTTTTCCTTAAATTAAAGCATTAAAAATTCATTCTTAATAGTTCTATCATATTTGAAGTTGTTGGATCTAGTCATTTGATTTTGTTATTGAAACCAAATTTCCTTTAAATCATAAGTGATGTGTTTTTTTTTAGTGTATTTTTATAGCCAATAAGCCAGTTAAAAACACAGTGCAATAGGTATTGTAATTATATCATCTATGACTCCTTGTTTTTGATGCATTGGTGTTTAAATTTTTGTTTATGATAGACAGACATTGTGTCTTGTCTGTAGAATAAAAATCATGTTAACAGACATGGTCAATAATGAAAGTAGTTATTTTATACGCCCACGTGAAATTGGGGCGTATATTGTTGTCACCCATGTGCGATTGTCCGTCCACAATTGCTCGTAAACACTCAACAAGGCACAATTCTCGACTGATTTTGACGAAACTTGGTATGGTTGTAATCACCCAAAGATGACCCCTATTGAAAATCAGAAAAATCGTAAAATATTTAGTATGAGTTATTGCCCTTGTTCTTGAAGCGCACGTAAACACTCTAGAAGGCGCAATTCTTGATGGATATTGATGAAACTTGGTGTGAATGTTTTCATTCAAGGATGAACCAAATTTTAAATCCAGAATGGCCCAATTCTTGACAGATTTTGATGAAACTTGGTAATACTATTCAGTATTGCCTCAAAAAATTCATTCGTGTATGACTGAAGGTTGAATATTTCATACTGGTAATTGTTACTGTACTGCTAAATATTTTTATTTAAAATCAAAGTTGCCAGTGGGCGTATATTACCTTGCCTAGCAAGCTATCTTTTAGAAAAATGAATGGCATAAGTTACAGTAGGAATTTATCTTACAGTATAAGGCATAAATGAATTACTACTGAAATATCTAAAACTTATGCCATACCTTTTTTATTTAACTACATTTATACTACTTCATTGAATTTGTGGTTGATGGCTCTCTTGCTTTTGATGGGATGAAGTGTCTGAAAAAGCCAGGAAAATTTCCTGATGTAACAGCTGGTGTTTTGTAATGAAGTGTACGACCACATGAATCCGCTATTGACTCCTCGACTCTTACCTTTCCACTACTTAATTGGTAGCATGCTTGGATGACCATTTCACCTTTCACTATATATTGTATTCAGTATGTATACAAACAATATTATGTACCAGTGCCATATATTTTGCAATTAAATTTTGTCATCAAAAGGGTCTATTTTTTTATTTGTATTGAAACAGCAAATTTCAACAAAGAACAGGACAGAAAAATTTGCAATTTCAAAACTTTTGAAGATAATCGAAATTGATTTTCTTTGAATTTTACCCATGAATATTAAGATACCCACATTGAAATAAAGTTTGATGGATAACTAAAACTAAATGATTTGACCAACAAGACAATATGTTGTATAAAAGTGAATATATTTATTATGATTATAAATATAATTAACATTAACTGTTCTAGTATAAAATAATATCAACATTTAAAGCAGAATGTATTAATTGTAATATAGAGAAGAATTATCATGGTTCAACAGTATTAATATATTGTGGGGTACCAGATGTTACGGCATATTACATGCACAATTATAAATAAGACAACCTTATAGATATATACTTCTTGAATAAATACTTTCAATGTTTCATTGCAGTTTTCACACTGGCTCAATCAGCTAAAGATCAAGGGTTCTATTCTGGATGGGACAAAAAGCTGATGTCCTGTGTGCTACTGACTGCATTGAGGATCACTTGACGGTTTGAAATCACAAAAGAGTAGGCTTATGTAGCTGTCTTGACAAAATTTTCCTCACTACACAGCATGACATTGTCCGTCGTCAATAGGCAAAGATTTCAGAAAAGTAGGAGGTGAAACTCTTACTTCATTATCTGGATATGCAGTCATTGGTCTGATGTAAATTATACTTATTCACAATTCCCTTGTCAAATAATAACCATGATAAAACTTCTATTTATGGAGCAGTGTAATTTAATAGAACAAAAAATGAACAAAAGAACTCACAATGATTAGGAAAGTATTAAAAATAATATTGTGACTTCTATTAAAATAGCACTGAGATCAGAGATTCAAATTTCTGAGAATCTTAAGTTTTTGCCAGTTTAATAAGAATCTTAAATATTTAATTACTACACTTTGGTCTTCGATGCATTTCTTTCAACAAATATTTTGTGAATTTGCCACATAATCGTTATGGAAAATGTCTATATTTATTTCAGAATTTTGAAGTAGCAGGAATTATTTCTGTATGAAGACATTAATAAAAGCTCTTGTGGTCAGTTTGTACATGTGTGCCTAACTGTATGATCAGACATTAAACTTTGATAATGTCATGGACTGGACTTAATATATATCAAATCAAGAGTAAAAACTAAAATATACTCTAATAAATACTGGTACAACGATTGTTAGTGTAAGTTGTGTTAAATATATAGTTATATATTATTATGCCTAAATATATTATGCAGTATACAAATTCAAATATGAAGTTTGTCACTGATGCTTTAAAGATTTATTGCATGTAAATTATTTTCTATGCAGTAACATCTTTAAAACGTTATAAACTGTGTTAAAAAAAACACAAAATTGACAAGATATAAAAGTGGGCTAAATGAATGAAATATGTATTCAATGACACGATAGACAGTTTTAAACTTAACAGAGTTTGTATTTACTACTTTAATTGAAAACTGATACCATTTTATGAATTACATTGAAAAGTAACCTTCAATTCTGTGACAGTCATCTTGTCATTCAAATGTGTGCAGATCTGTAATCTAAACTAACTATACATACATATAACTATTAAACTAAGCTTGGTTTCTTTTGATAAAAACAAATTTGATTCTATCCATGTATTTGATGATAAATATCAAATTTCCTAATATTGATTTCATCCAAAAAAGTTTGTAAGACAATGCAAAGCACCGTGATATAAATTTTTACAATTGTATTACAAAATATAGCAATAAGAATACATTCTATATTCACATTACACAAGTCTTCAAGGGTTTCAAGATGTAATTGTTCATTAAATGAAAGATGAACTCCTACATTCCACTAACAGTATGAGCTCTGAGAAATTAAGTCCTTGATTTGTATAGCGAATTTCAATTAAAGAGTTCCACATATTATTTACATGAAACAAAGATATCATCATCAATTGAATGTTAATTTCTTTGATGTACATATTTTCTGCAAAACTCTACTACTTAACTGTCTGTCACTTCATATTCCAACCTTAATACAGTTTTAACTCTTATAGAAGGATTCATGGTTAACACATCCCCACAGTACCAAGCTTTTCGTGGCTAGAAAGATTACCAACTCCAATAACACTTCACAAATATAAATGGTTGGTTGAGATTAAATCCTACATCGATATAACAGGTAGACACACTTTTCCAGTAAATAATTCAGATAAAATTGTAAAAAAAATGGCAAGTATAAAAAGTACGTAGGATGAGCCTACTTGTGTGTGGTTTGGTAGTTTGTATGGTCGGCCACCGATTTCATCAATATCAAATCCTATAGGAAACACTATAGCAGCCATGCAGAACAATGTCACTGAAAAAGAATCATTATCAAATAAATTTGTATAAAAATGAGGGTTGAATGTGAAGAATCATTAGTTCAATAAGATCTAACAACTTTCATTTCATAGAATTAAGACAAAATAATTAAGTATCAATGATGAAATAGTATTGGCTTCAAGTACAAATGATTGTTGATATAGAAAAGTTTTTGGCTTAGAAAAACATAACTGCTTCAACAAATGTACTTACTCCCAACAAATGCAATCCATCGTGCATATTTAGTAGCCTCTCTTTTCCAATGAGAAGCAAATAAAAGTAGACAGGTTAAGGTTATACACAGAATACCAGTTAATATACATATAAAGGTAAACATCCATTCTTTGGATAGCGTAGGAAATACACAGATTTCAGTACGACCATGGATTATCTGGCACTGACTTGTTAATCCTAATCTCATATGACCTGAAAGTGAAAAATACAATTATGTCTCATTAGCAAATTTGGCTGGGCAGCAATATTTTAATTTTTATTTTGTGTTCGTGCATTTTAACTATATACAACCCATATAAATATTTGTATTGCTCTATACAACCCATATAAATATTTGTATTGCTCTGTGACACATAAATAAACTACTACTACTACTACAAAGTTTGAATATCTCATTGATTCTGTTGGCCTCATACAGTTTTCTCCTTCTTGTTTTAAGTAGGTTGAATGATAGGTTCCAAAAAAATATTATTATCAGCCTCACTGATGTTTGAAGAAAAGTTGAAATTGTTAGGATTATTTCAACTTGATTATACAAAAAGTTGTCAACCCTTAATTGTAACAGCAACTATGTTGGATCCAAATTGCACCAATATTAGCTGCAATTTGAAACTAGTTTGAGAAATAGATCCACGCACCTGCTACATTGGTATTTATCCAGTCTGGGTTAGCTAGACTGCCAATAGCAAAAATATCTGCTGCTAAAAACAGCACACCAGACAATGCAACCAATTTATCCATTGTTCATTGATTCAATCTATCTAGACCCGAAGTTCAAGCTGAACAAGTTGAGATTCCAATGGTCTGTTGTCTGGCAGTCACTTCACAAGTCTTCTTCATGCAGTTTCAGACAGAGAAAAGAATGACAAGCTTCAAGAATTTTCAGGCAATATACTCCTCTTCTTGAACATTTCACCCTCACGTAACCATTACTTTAAATTTAAACAGCAAGAAGCGTCATTGAAGATGAACAAATTGGTCCCATCTCTTTCTTTTGTTATTATGGAATTTTCAGAAATTGAAGTGATCAGTCTCCATATTGACTTTCTGATCAACCTTTGACCTCTGAACTCGACACGGGAAGTAAACTGTGTAGCTGAGATTATCCAGAAAAGTAGGCGTGGCTTCATCATTAATTTGATCATCCAGTTTGTTTACATCTTCATGAAAATCAATATCATTCATTATCTCGACTGGGCAGATTCTGTTATGTTTTAATTTACCAAATGATTAGGTTGAAATACCAACAGGTTGTAGAACGACAGCCGGATTTAATGTCGTAAAACGTGAAGAATGACTGATCAAGGACATCCTGCTTCATTGCATTTGATAACTGGGTCAAAACACATGCCATACATTGTGAAATGTTTGAGTGAAAATTTGAAAAGAAATCCTACCATAATCAAATCCATCAAGATGGCAGATTGGGGAGGATTGTCCAATCTGTTGTCTTATTCTAACTTAGTCCATGCTATTTCCGGAGCTGCTGTAAGTATAATTAAAACCATTACTGTAACTTTTGAGACTAGAAGGGTTTGATTTCTCAGTCATATGCTCATCCATCCTGGTATGATAACAACTAAAAGTTCCTACTCTCTGGCCACATCAAGCTCTAAATCACATTGGCTATCATTTTTGTATGAATTGAAATATTAATCTCCAAATATTGCTGAGAGTCTTAGATAGTTTTTGGGTTGATGAAAATGCCAACCATTGAAAACAACATTATTTGAAACTATTATTTTACAGAGGGAGATTTTTAGTTCAAAATGTCTCATTTTCACATGAAATTTCTTGGAGAGAAGTGTGTTCATTTCAAGTGCAAAATTTTCAAAACTTATATATTCATGGACCCAAAGGCATTCTAAGCCAATTGGTATGCACTTGAAAATCATAATTTGAATATTTGTGACACAGGAGAAAAAATTCAATTTGAACTCAATGTGGCCACAGAGTAGACCTGGGTGATTTTGAGATGAATAAAATCACTGGCCTCATCTTTTATAGGTTGCAATTTATTTCGATTTCGAATATGCTCATATTTTCAGGGAAGTGTTGTTGCTATGACAGTATTTTTTCCATTAGACACTGCTAGAACCAGATTACAAAGTGAGTATACTGTTCCTAATTTTATAATCACTGCTGTGTGTCACTAGCATTTTGACCACACAGTTAACAGTGTTTGCTTTATTTAAGTGGTAAATAATCTTGCAGTGTATAGCTTAATCTAACACTAGACCATTTATCAAGATCACCTTATACTTTGACAAATTAAAGTAATTCAGATAACAGCAAACAATTTGGTAAGCCAAAAGAATTTTTTGTGTTACCTATACTCTTATAGTTCAACCATAGAACTATACTCTTATAGTTCTATGGTTAAAGTATAAGAGTATAGTTCTATGGTTGAACAATAAGAGTATAGTTCTATGGTTGAACAATAAGAGTATAGTTCTATGGTTGAACTAAAAGAGTATAGGTTGAACTCTAAGAGTATAGTTCTATCTTGTCAGCTAGTGTGCCGCTGTCCAATGATCTTGATCATTTGTTGTGATCAACTAATAGAATTCAGGGTATATATATCACATGCTCACTTACACACTCAAGTAACTCCCATTCAGATTATTTTATACCGTCAAAGAATCCTAAAACGTTTTTCGTCAAAAGTTCAGTCGTTGCATGAGCAGTCATGAGTGTTGTAATGATCTTAGTTGACGTTTTAGACATATTTTGTAAATGTTTAATAGATTAAAACTCAAAACATATTCAAGTAGTAATCATGTGTTGTAAATTATTTCAGGATGGCTTTATATCGTGGATTATTTCCAGTTGTCTCAGCTTTATGTTGTTCAAATTTTGTGTATTTTTATATGTTTAATGGTTTAAAATCAGTGATGGCAACCCCTAATGGTGAAATTAATTCTATCAAAGATTTATCTTTAGGTTTTATAGCAGGTAAATATATTAATTTAAATTATCAAAATGCTGTACATTAAACCTCAATTTAGTGATTGTTGTAGTAAATAATTTACCTTCAAACCATATCCCATCATTAAACCTCAATTTAGTGATTGTTGTAGTAAATAATTTACCTTCAAACCATGTCCCATCATTAAACCTCAATTTAGTGATTGTTGTAGTAAATAATTTACCTTCAAACCATGTCCCATCATTAAACCTCAATTTAAAGATTGTTGTAGTAAATTATTTACCTTCAAAACCATGTCCCATCATTATACCTCAATTTAGTGATTGTTGTAGTAAATAATTTACCTTCAAACCATGTCCCATCATTAAACCTCAATTTAGTGATTGTTGTAGTAAATAATTTACCTTCAAACCATGTCCCATCATTAAACCTCAATTTAGTGATTGTTGTAGTGAATAATTTACCTTCAAACCATGTCCCATCATTAAACCTCAATTTAGTGATTGTTGTAGTAAATAATTTACCTTCAAAACCATGTCCCATCATTATACCTTAATTTAGTGATTGTTGTAGTAAATAATTTACCTTCAAACCATGTCCCATCATGTTACCTCAATTTAGTGATTGTTGTAGTAAATAATTTACCTTCAAACCATGTCCCATCATTATACTTCAATTTTGTAGTAAATAATCAAATTACAAAATGTCCTAATAAGAAATATCTTTATTGCAGGTGTAATCAATGTATTGGTAACCACACCACTATGGGTAGTTAATACTAGACTGAAGTTACAGGGTGTTAAATTTCATACTAAACATTATACTGAAAATGATCATAAAAAAATGAAATATAATGGCATTATAGGTAGGTAGTAAATTCATTAAGTCTATTGATTCATATCCTTAAGGTTAACCCAAATATAGATACTGCATTAGGTTAAAACTTTCAGTGATCGTAGGAAGATGGGAAAGATTTTACATAGATTTTGTCGACCTAACAAACCAGCAAATGTGTCATTTGAGTTGTACATGTCTTTATGGTAAAACATCAGTATGGATTGGTTTTGTATTAATGAGGTGGCGCTGTAGTGATCTAGGACATCTCAGTAGCGACTGTTATATAGACTTATGTTCTCTTATCTATATTTTTACTTTTCTGGGCATAGAATGATGTCAAATTTGAGCGAACCAAATAGCAAATCTAAATCTTTAACTAAAGAAGACAAACAATTTATGGATTCTAATAGGAGCTAGTAAAGTTGCCAAGGTAGCAATTTTGACTTTTTAGACTTGCAAATGCACTACAAGTACTATTACTACTGCAGCAGATGTGTGTCCTATTTCACTAGCGCGCCACCTAGGGTCTAACTCAATGGTACCGGTACCTCATTGTTATGAAGGGAAGACATAGGCCTATATTATCATTAATTCATCATAGCAATGATTTACAGCAGTAACATATTGATAAAGATGTGTATGTAAATTAGAGATTTGAATTTCAGATTGTTTAAGAAAGATTATAAATTATGAAGGTATTTCTACATTGTGGAATGGTACTATGCCATCCATAATCTTAGCGTCCAACCCAGCAATACAATTCATGGTTTATGATGCCATTAAAATATATTTTCAAAGACTTTTCAAAACAGCTGTAAGTATTTAATTATAATATATATGTGGCGTTGTTAATGCGTAAGACTATCAGGACCACAAAACCCAAACACATTAGAACAGCGTTCACACAGAGTTTATTAAAACCAAAATATCATAAAACCATAAACAAGTGGACAATGCTGAATCTAACAAGATATGATAGGATATTTGACGATTAACTGAAAAGATACAAAATTACAATAACAAGTAACTATTCATATAATTTGGGCAAGAGAGAGACTCTTTTAAATACTACAGAATGTAAACAAAGCTATTCGAGAAATTGTACTTTCACTTTCCATATAAGGCAATCGACAGTGCGCGCTAATCATGCATGACGACTCATTGACGATGGAAAGATTTCAGACCCAAACTTTACATATTACAGGACAAATACAAAATGACAGGGAGGTTAGGACCGCTACAAATGTTCTACGATATACATTAAATAAGATAACATAAAAAAATACCAAATTGTCAACCACTAATCTCCACAAATAACAGAAATGAGTTAGAACGATAAAGACTTGACCAGAATGTCAGCCATGCTCTTTGAGAAGGAAGCTATTACGTCACGTTGACCAGTTCGTGTTACTATCTGTTAAGGGTCCGTTGTAGTGCTCTACAATATACGTATTTAATTTTTGGCACATGGGCTTAGTGAATTTATGTTGCACAAATACATAAATTATGCATTAATCAGTATATTAATATTTTTTTTAAAAAATAAATTCTGACTGTCAGTGTTAGCTTTGACAAATATTTTCACCTAAAAGTGTTCACAATTTTTTATGTGCAATATTTTCTTTTTAGGAATTAAGTGGCTTTTTATATTTTTTGATTGGTGCGATAGCTAAAACAATAGCTACTGTTATAACATATCCTATACAAGTTATACAGTCTAGATTACGGGTGAGTATATTATACTTTATATTTAGTGCTATAGGTAAAACAATAGCTATTATTATATCATATCCTATACAAGTTATACAGTCTTAATTACCGGTGAGTATATTATACTTTATTATTGGTGCGATATCTAAAACAATAGCTATTATTATAACATATCCTATACAAGTTATACAGTCTAGATTACGGGTGAGTATATTATACTTTATATTTAGTGCTATAGGTAAAACAATAGCTATTATTATAACATATCCTATACAAGTTATACAGTCTTAATTACCGGTGAGTATATTATACTTTATTATTGATGAGATAGCTAAAACAATAGCTACTGTTATAACATATCCTATACAAGTTATACAGTCTAGATTACCGGTGAGTATATTATACTTTATTATTGGTGCTATAGGTAAAACAATAGCTATTATTATAACATATCCTATACAAGTTATACAGTCTAGATTACGGGTGAGTATATTATACTTTATATTTAGTGCTATAGGTAAAACAATAGCTATTATTATAACATATCCTATACAAGTTATATAGTATAGATTACGGGTGATTATATTATACTTTATATTTAGTGCTATAGGTAAAACAATAGCTATTATTATAACATATCCTATACAAGTTATACAGTCTAGATTACGGGTGAGTATATTATAATTCATTTATTTGAGAAATTACTGACCTTTTTTGTTCACGACTTCTAAATTTATTGTATTTTAGGCTGGCTATTCTAAAGAAGAAAAATCACACAGTATTTTACATCATCTCCTATATTTAATCAAGTAAGTTATATTATTATTTCAGTATTATGAAGCAGATTCATCTCTAAGCAGGCTGTAGTCAAAATGGCAAGAGACTGACCATGTGACCATTTGCTCGCGATTAGCAGATGATGCTATTGCCATGTATATTTTATTCATTATGCTTAAATTCCTAAAACAAAGTGACATCTGAGGTGAATCTTGAATTCACAAATCATAGGGACTGACAACTCGTGAAAATGTAACTTGATCTGATTAATCTTGATTAGAAAACCAAATGCTCTGTAGATGTAAATTATTGATACCCTATTACAAGGTTGTAAATTTTGTGATGAATATATATTTCTCTTCTTTTAGAAAGAATGGGGTACAATCACTTTATAAAGGAATGGAAGCTAAGTTATTACAGACTGTTTTAACAGCAGCTCTTATGTTTTTAACCTACGAAAAAATAGCAGCATTTATATTCAGATTTATGGGAATGAAACCAGTGATTTCAAAGAGATAATCAATACATATAGTGCTGTGTTTTAAATAGTGTTCAATCTTCCAAATTTTAAATGACAAGTGTTCATTATGTTATTATTATCAATGGAAATAAAAAACTTTTCAAATTACACAAGAGTTCCTGATGTTTCAAACAGGGACATAATGGAGGGACATTAAAAGAGAATCATTTAAAATTAGCCTGACAAATCTGGTCCTAATGAATGGTTCCATGGAAGTGAGATTCAGATATTGTCACAGACTGAACAGGTCACATTGCTCCGATCCATTTTTGACTTGGTGTGAATTTTCAAAACTAGCAATACAAAAATGGATCAAGGCATTTCTATATGATGTGACCTTTTCAGTCTGGCACTAAGCTATTAAACGATATTAAATCTGTTTATCAGAAACGGGTAGAGCCAGATTTGTTATGCTTCCGCAACTGTCAGTCAAGTCTTTGCAGTAAAGCCAAGATATAAGTCAAGAGGTGTTGCAAGTTTTTGGAAATATCCAAGTAAGTTTGAGCTTATGTGGGAAACTGACAGCTTTGATTTTTATACGCCCACATGAAATAGGGGGCGTGTATTGTCGTCACCTATGTCCGTTCGTCCACAATAGAAGGCACAATTCTTGACTGATTTTTTATGAAACTTTTTATAATTGTTTGTAATCACTCAAGGTGAACACTATTGAAAATCAGAAAAATCAAAAAATATTTTGTATGAGTTATAGCCCTTGTTCTTGAAATGCTTGTAAACATTCTGGAAGACGCAATTCTTGACGGATTATGACGAAACTTGGTGTGTGGGTTTGTAATCACCCAAGGATTAACCCTATATTAGATTTTTAGCTTTTAACCACTCTAGAAAGTTTAACTTTTGACAGATTTTAATGAACTTTGGTGTGAATGTTTGTTATAACTCAAGAATGTACCCTTTTGAAAATCAAAAATCTGTTCAGTATTTAGTTCATTGCCCTTATTCTTGAAAACTCGTTCAAGTTTTAGCTCATAAATACTCCAGAAGGCACAATTCTTGACAGAATAAAACGAATCTTGCTGTGAGTGTTTGTTATCACCCAAGAATGAACCCTATTGAAAATCATAAGAGTTAAAATTCTCGAAAATGCTTCAAATTTCTAGTTTGTAAACACTTTAGAAGGCACAAATTTGGACATATTTAGTTGAATCTTGCTGTGAGTGTTTATTATCACCTAAGGATGAACCCTATTGAAAATCATAGGAATTGAAAAATATATATATTTAATAACTTAATTTATTAATTGTGTCACGAATCAGAAACTAAGTATAAGATAGCTTGCCAGGCAAAGTAACATACGCCCACTACCAGCTGTCACAAATGATAAAAAAAGTCTGTAGTGGTTTAATACGTGAAACGATTCATCTGATTGTTACTAATTTCAAGCTTTACTGAGATTTCATACCTAGTTTCATCAAGATCGTATAAGAAATGTAGTCTCTATAAGCCAAATTAGACGCATTGAATTAATTCAAGGACAATAACTCAAACACCATTCATCCAATTATTACCATTTTTTATACGCCCACGTGGAAATGACTGCCTTGTAGTTTATTTCTTCCCCTGATGAAGTCAAAACTTTTTTGACAAAACGTTTGGTATTAAAGGATGGTATTTGATGTCAAGTTTTATTATTTATCACGTATACTGCCGTCGCCCCTGTCCATCGGTCCGTCAACATTTCTTGTGAACACAATAGAGACTACAGTTTTCACCTGATTTTAATGAAATTTGGTGTGATCATTTATATTGATGATATTTTGGTCAAGTTCGAATTTGACGATCTTTCGATGAACAGTTTTTTATTGCCCTTGACTTAGGAAAAACGCGTCAAAATTTGTTTGTGAACACAAGAGAGACTACAGTTTTCAACTGATATTAATGAAATTTCGTGTGATAATTTATATTGATGAGATCTTGGTCAAGTTCGAATTTGGCTATATTTCGATGAACGGTCTTTAAGTTATTGCCCTTAACTTAGGAAAAACGCTTCAAAATTCGTTTGTGAACACATTAGAGACTACAGTTTTCAATTGATTTTAATGAAACATAGTGTGATCATGTATATTCATGCGATAATTTGATGTATTTGGGTTATTGATATTGATTGTTAAAAATTTTGTGGAATTTCTCAGTATAAATAAATGGCAGTATATATATATCATTGAATTCAAACTATAAAAATGTCTTTAATATGAGAAAATACATACTATAGTCACTAAAGACTGTTTTATCATTTCTGACAGCTGCCAATGAGCGTATGTTACCTTGCCTGGCAAGCTATCTTTAACTTGAGATCTCATCAATTTCCGATTATTATCAATTTCAAACTTGACCGAGATCTCAACAATATATACATGCACATTATGTTTCATCAAAACCAGATTAAAATTTCAGCCTTAATCGTGCCTACAAGCCAAATTTGACCGGTTTTACTAAGTCAAGGGCATTAATTCTGAAACCATTCTTCCGATTATTATCAATTTCGAACTTGACTGAGATCTGAACAATATATATATACATACTGAGTTCATCAAGATCAGATCAAAAATTTTTTTTTACTAAGTTAAGGGCAATAACTCTGAAATCTTTCATCCAATTGTTACCAATTTCGAACTTGACTGAGGTCTCATCGTGCATACAAGAAATAAGGATGGACCGACGGACGGACAGACAGACAGGGCGATGGCAATGTGGGCCTATAAAAACATATTACATAGATATAACAATAAGATTTCCGATCAAGGTCGGCATATGTGACACTTACTGGTTAAAACATATTTACATATAAACATCTTTAGATAAAAATAATTAATAGTAGTTAATAAATAAAACCTATTCTCAACACACATAAATAGCATCAAATACATCATCTTTAAAACATGTGCTTATAATTAAAACAAAATGCACGATATCTATGTACAAATAAAACAAACCAATCAATACTGGAATTTTATTAAAGTTACAATTTTTTGTGGTGTTACATACATATTAGAAAGGAATAATGGATGGGCGCATAACTCATAATAAAAAGATAGCTTGCCAGGAAAGGTATTATACGCCCACAGGCAGCTTTTATTTTAAATAAAAATATTTGGCAGTACAGTAACAATTACCAGTATGAAATATTCAACCTTCAGTCGTACACTTCTTTTGAAGTTTTAGGGGAGATACTGTATGATATTACCAAGTTTCGTCAAAATCTTTCAAGAATTGGGCCTGCTAGAGTTTCCAGACTAAAACTTGAATGCATTTTCAAGAACAAGGGCAATAACTCATACTAAATATTTTTTGATTTTTTTTATTTTCGATAGGGATTATCCATGGGTGATAACAAACATATACACCAAGTTTCCTCAAATTTGTCAGTAATTGAACCTTCTACAGCATTTACAATCTAAAATTGAACACGTTTTATAGACAAGGGCAATAACTCATACTAATTATTTTTTTTATTTTCAATACGGTTCATCCTTGGGTGATAACAAATACTCACCCCATGTTTCATCAAAATCCGAGAATTTCAACAACAAAGGCAATAACTCATATTAAATATTTTTCAAATTTTCAATAGGGTTCATCCTTGGGTGATTACAATCAATCATACCAAGTTTCTTTAAAATTAGTTAAAAGTATTGTGCCTGCTAGAGTGTTTATGAGCAATTGTGGGCGGATGGACCGATGGATGGACATGGGTGACGACAATATACATGCCCCATTTCAGGGTACCTAGGGTAATGGTGCCAAGGTATCAGACTAACTTGGTAATACCCTGACATTGTGAAGATGGGTAATTGGAGGTTTTATAAAACAGAGAGATAGTGTGAAATAGGAACAGAATCTTGTATTGATTTGTGTACATGAGGGTCAAAGGTGAACTCTGTCTGGAAAGCTAATATCATCCAATCAATCATGTCAAATAATAGGGTACACATATCTGATTACCAAGGCCGACAATTAAAAGGACATTCCCTTTTTTTTAGGTCAAAACAATTTTATGAAAACTATACACCAAAATCTAGAGATATGTATCCTTTAACTTATTTGAAAGTTTTAACTAAAACTAGAACTGTGATGGCATGGCAATGGGACATTATCTCATGGATTTTAAACCTTTTGATACTTCCAGTCTGTTAGCCCCTCCAACTTTGGTGCTTTAAAGCCAGCAAATAGTGCACAAGAAAATGAAACTCTTGGGTATCTGGTAAATAAATCAAGTATATATTTACACTCGTTGTTGCGTTCAAGCAATAAAATATGCTCATCTGCCCCAAGCATAATAAAGAATTAGGAATTTTAGGTTGTAACATTGCAGTTAAGCAATGTTACGAAAGCACAGGCACAGGCATGTAGGCGTAACCTCTAGTGATAGAGCAATGTTTGTGAAGTTAGTTTAAAAGAATGATATAGAATATTTGAAATGCAAATCCATTATCTTCCGAATCTGAAATATATAAGAAGAATACTGGTTCCAACATGAACATTAATAACCATGGAAATCATGATAAACATTTTCACTGGTGAAACTGAGGAATTGTCCTATATTAAATGAAAAGGAAAATGCTTATTTCATTTAAAAAATATATATAATTTATTAAGTGAAAATAGTATACATGTATGATATTTTTGCGAGGAAACTCTTCAATTGTAAGTTATTATAAATAAGAAATATTAATTAAAGGAAATGTACTAAACCTATGGAAGGGGGGTGGGGGGTAATCTACCACGGACTAAGATATCATTTAGATTTTTATTACGGGTATAGGCGATAACTAAATCATTTGTAAAGACTGTTGGAAATTTTTCCTGCAATTCTTTGTAAAGACGGATAATTATTCGGGGAACTTGACTAGCTGTGTTGTTGAATTGAATAACACAAGGTATATTCTGGAAATCAACTTAGATGTTCATTCCTAAAGGATGCATGGCTTGTAATTTGTTTATCCAATAATTTTCGCGAATTTTCTTTGTATCAATGCCAGGTTGTTCGTATATCTGTTCAATGGGAATAATTTCAGGTCTGTTAATTGGTGATCGGGTTGATTGAAGTGTTTTGAAACGGTTATGTTAATTTTTTTTAAATCGATGTCAGACTTTTGATGATTAAAACGGACCCTTAACGAATTTTTTTGTCTCCCCAACGTATTGTTCGTCACATTTTGTGCAAGAAATGAGATAAATAATATTTTTGCTGTTGCAGTTGAGTTTTTCGTTTACTTGAAATATGGAATCTGTGCATCTATTTCAGAAAGAATTTGTTGGTAAAATGAAGGGACAGGTTTGACAGCGAGGGTTATTACAAGGATAAACTGAAGAATTTGGTATTGGCAAAAGAAACGAATTATTTTTAGCAGAGATTTCAGCAACTGTTGAGCTTTTAATTAGAATTAGGGTGAAGAGTTAAATTTTATATTCCTTTTAAACCCCATTATCGTTTTGCTTTGGCCTAACGTCTATTTCACGGTTAATTGTAAATGGCCTTATTAATTTGTATTGGCCTTAAAAATCACCCAAAATGAAACTTTTGCTATTTTTTAATGTTGGCAAAATTCTTATGTGCTAGCTCTGTGTAAGCGACACCAATTTCATAATGGCATAGATATACCCAAGGAAAATATTTATGACTTTGAAAACAGCCTACAGTTTGTGAACAAGTAATTAAAATTCTTAAATTTTGATAAAGTGTGAAACGCTTTGAATTCATTGAACCCAATAAAAACTTCATTGTAATTATTGCAATACAAAGTATTGGCAATTTAAGTTTATAACTTTGTGTCAATAATAGTGTCTATCCGTTTGGGCTCATTCTCCTCATAAGCAGATGCTTATTAACATATTGTACATTTAGATGTTATCTATAATCTTTAAAATGAAGGAATTCCAAATTTAGTTCAAAGAAATTGTACTTGATCAACGGTACTTGATCCGTACAAAGTAAGAAAACTAAAGGATCCATTCTTCTTAAATAGGAAATATCTCCAATGTGCATCGTCTGCCAACTTAGGTTTATAACAGACACTTTTCTGTATTAAGACATTTGTAGTTTGAGTTCTAATTAAGAAATCATTCCAATGTTTATATAACTTGCAAATTCACAGCTTTAAATGCAGGTATGATTCATATTTGAATGTAAATATTTGGCAATAAAAATAAATACATTTTATAAAGGTTAAAAAATTAAGTTATCTGATTAATGTGTTCTCTAGCTCACTGATTTGACACCAAGGTGTGGGAGTTCAAACCAACCAGTTATTAACAATTTCCTATCAAATTGATGTATTCCAATGCTGAAATCCACAGTACCTACTAGTGACCTAGGCCAGTGCTTCTATAAGAGAGTATCCTTATAAAACCTTATACCAATATTCTATAACTATAATATAATACTCAATCAATCATTTTGACCCTTTAGGACTTTGTTAGATAAAACCATAAAAATTTTATTTATTTTTTTTAAATTTATCCACATTGAATGATTTGAATTTTTATACCAAACCATTCATGTCACATATCGTTAAAGAGAGAATTCCGAATGCATTCTAATAATGTAAACCACAAATTTAGTCGGAGTTAAAATATTTTGATTTTTTTTTCAAAATATTTTTATGCATTATTGCCATATATCATTACAAAAAGAATTTTAATAATCTGAAAAACTTGAGTCATTAGAGATTGTGTAGTCGTCCAAAGTTGCAAAAATGTCAGATTTCGGTGGTCTATAAATCCGGAAATTCGTGTTTTTCATCCATTATCAAGGTTTTCTATAGATATCAAGGACAATCAATACTGAAAAATTGAAAAAAGGTCATTTACGGTCACAAGATATAGACGACTTTTATATCTTCAAAAAATTCAAACAGGCATAAAAAATTTAAAATTGAAATTCAAAATTCTGTTCCCAACGAGTTTCATATAAAGTAACAGGAGTTTTGATAGACACCAAAATAATACAAATTAGATAATAAATGGCAATTTTAATCAAATTTTAGCAAAAATGTGCTACTCTCATGTAACGGTGCATGCATCACATACGGTTTGAATATTTCTTCTTAGGTGATTCAAATTTATTATAATAGATAATATGTACAGCTTTTGTCTACATTTGTGAATTACACCGGAAGAAGGGTCACTCAGGTGATTTTCAGAATTCGGAAATAATTTAACTATTTTGACGACACAGTTTTATTTGTATTGGCATTCTATCTATAATTTTCAGACTGCTCCAATAACTAGCACCAAAGGTGAAAATGTTAAAATTTTTCATTTGAATTTTTTGGTTGCATTCAATACATCAAGGTAAATCAGTCCACAAATGAGCTCAAAATTTACAATTAGGACATTAATTTATGATTCTAGCTCCTTTAAAAATCTTTAGTCAAAACAGAAATGCTCTCATTTTCAGTTTGTTCTGAAAAGCTTCCTGAAAAAAAAATTGGATTGCATAACAAACCGTGACAAATCGATAGATCGATTTGCCACGCAATAATCTCGTAATATATGTCTCCTACATAAAGGTTTCGACTACCAAAAACTGTCTAAACTGAGGTTTACAATTTGTTGCCCATTTCATTAAAGTGATACTACATCTTAGAATGAACATAAAATTTAAGAATTTTAAACTTGGCCAATAAGAGCACATATTCATCAGTAGATACACCTGGTGTCATAAATAACATAATAACATCTTTATATAATCTGATAAACCCAAAATAACTTAGTAATTATCCATAAATATGCAATTAACTATTGAAAGGCGCTTAATATCAAGAATAAGCGTTTTTCAAAAATTACTTAGTTTTATGAATTTTCCAGATTTTACAGGGAATTTGTTGTAACTTTATGACACCAGGAAAGTTCACTGATGAATATATACTCATATTGACAATTCTTGAGAACTTAAATTATATGTTCATTCTAAGATGTAGTATCACTTTAAAATGAAATTATGTTTTCAAAATTTTGATTATCATTCTGAGAAGTGTAAAAGCTAGTTGAAATTATGTTTTCAGATTTTTTATATGCATTATGTTATTATGCTATAATTTGGGTTTAGAAGTTAGATTTTCTTCATGAAAGTGGGAAGGTTAGCTGAAATGAACAACAGTGGAGAGTTAACTATTTTAAGATTGAATATAGGTCAATGTTTACCCTACAATAAATATGAACGACATCATTTACATTTAAGTTGATGCATTGATTTCCATTAAAGTCTCAAGTAGCAAATTCATTTGCTCTTTATCTCTTTAAAGGACTACCTCTGAGGATGATCAAAACATTGAAATTTTTAAACTTGGTTAAAATGAGTCTTTGTTCATCAGTGGACTTAACTGGTTTCAAAACTATACAAAAGAATAATCCAATACATCCATAAACTAAGTAAAAATCCATTAAACTTAGAAATTTTGAAACATGCTTAAAAGTGTGTTTTAATAATTATTTAGTTTAATGTATATATCGTCTTATATAGAGATTCTATTCTTTAGTCATGGCACATGATAAGTACAACTGATGAATATATATTCTTGTTGACTAAATTTGAGAGGTAGTATCTCTTTAAAAATCATGTGATCATATGTGATTTTATAACCTTATGATACCTGCTTTGAATGGTTAAACAATTTACAAAAGATTTAATCTGGGTCAAATTCCCTATGTGAATTAATTCAAAGAAATATACAAACTTTCTATAATTTTACACAGTTGAAAGTATAAGGCTCGTTTTACTTTCCGATTGACAATAGATTCTAAGCAGAAAAAGGAATTACATCGATGACATAAGGTGTGGAGGATAAGTGTAGACAACCATATAGTGATAGTTAAATGACAGTAGAGATCGATCTTACAAGCGGAATGTAAAACAAAGTTGGAAGTTTAGCATCAGACATAAAAATGTCACTCAGAGCCAAAAGAAGATTTTTATTTAAATGTTTGGTGACTTTTGTGATTTTTATGACAGTTTCTTGGCCTCTATTGTTGCAATCCTACACTAACACTGATCATCAGAGACTCATCAGCAGCTACAAGTCAAATGATCAGTGTGTACGAAAATTCACAGACATTAGTATGATTGATCTACAAAACACCTGGAATAAAATAAAGAAATCGTTTGGAACTCTGAAAAGTTGGATTTTACCACAATATGTGTTCAACATGAATCAAGCATATTATGATGATTCTGAAGAATTAGGAACTACGAACAGACCAGAATATTGTAATGGATGTTTCAATAATAACTTTCAGCTCATTATTCAACAATTTCAACTATGCAAATCTAATGATAGAATCAGACTACTAATGTTTATTACCTCTACACCAAATAACAAAGAATCTAGGGTTGTGATTCGGAAAACATGGGCAGCTAAATGTTGGGATCCTAATTCAGTGTTAAAGTGTGTGTTTGTCTTAGGTCGTTCTAAAAATAGTTCAGTGAATATGAATCTAATTACTGAAAATAAAACCTATGGTGATATAATACAAATAGATTTCATGGATTCTTATAGAAATTTAACTTATAAGACTATGTCCAGTTTTAAATGGGCAGCCGAATATTGTTCTAATGCACATTATGTGATGAAAACGGATGATGATATGTATGTAAATACTGAACTTATAACTCAAATGTTACAAGCTGCTCCAAGAGGGAAATTTGTAGGAGGTTACTGCTGGGATACAAGTAAACCAAATCGTGACCATTCGTCCAAGTGGTTTGTGTCTTATAGGATGTTTCAGAAACCTCATTTTCCCCCCATGTGTTCAGGTACAGGGTATATTTTAAGTATGGATGTGGTCGGTAGAATATTGATGGAGTCACCTAACATTCCTTTCTTATACTTAGAAGATGTATATGTGTCATTGTGTTTACAAAAGTTTGGAATAATACCTAAAAATCTTTTAGGATTTAGTAATACGTACACATGGTTTGATGCTTGTTCATATAAGAATTTAGTTATGACTTCGCATAAAGTTCCTTCTCAAATGTTGAAAGATTCTTGGCCTATGATACAAGACTGTCCATGTAAAAATGTGGCTCCAATGTATATTGTTTTACCCTACCCAGATAATGAGTGATAAGATATAGAACAACATGGCCTGCTAGCTTATAACAATGAGGAGGGGGCACACGTAGCCAATTCAGTATTTTTGTTGTTTACTTTTCTGCACTAGAATGGGATAATGAAGACGGGCAGCACCATGAAGTGTGCAGTGAGGGAAAGTTTAGCCAGGACGGCATCATTAGCCGCCTACTCTTTTTCCATTTCCTACTGTCAAGTTGCTAACAGGGCGTCAGTTTACTGTCCCATTCGATGATTAGACACTTTTTAGATATCAGTCCATCCTACATGCATCAAAAGTAGAAACCAGGTTGAAAAATTTCTTTGGTTAGCGCGCAGGCATCTAACTCACTGAGCCACCAGGGCTCTGAGTATTTTGGTATTGGCTAATCAACCTTTAGAATAAAAAAACATGTAGAAACCAGGGCTCCACTGGCCATTCAAACCTACATATAATAACTCTAAGCTATTGTAAGCTAAGAAAGGTGGGGAAAAAAAAAATATTTACAATAACTATTTTTAAAGATGGGTTTCCTTATTTTTTAGTCTCAAATAAATCAAACTATTTTATTAATTGCTGTTTGAAATGAATTATCATATATTCTTAATCATATCATTATGTTCTTATTGCATATAATCAAGAGTTTTAACCAATCATAAATGTATGTACAATCTGGATAAACACAAAAAAAAGATTTTATGACCCTTCTTGATCGGTCACTCATTGGAATTCTGCTGGTATTTCTCTTCTAATTTAGGTAATTATGAAATAATTATGGTCCAACTGGCAATTTTCCAATTCATTAGAACACCTCTACTTTCTATTCATACTAAAATAAATATTAGCATTTTCATATTCATAAATAAGGAACCCATATTTAATACTGACTAGTTTGACATATCACGTCTGTATTTCATTTCTTAAGTTTTGTTCATGTGTTTGAATATTAAAGTACCGGTACATGTAAGTCTACCAATCCCCAAAATAAACAAGCTGAATTATGATTTATATAAAGGGACAGGGACGCCATTTTGAGGTATTGATTTTAATCTTAAATATATGTAAAGAGTCTTCAGAAGTACTAAAAATGTACGTAAATATATCGCATAATGCCTTTAAAAATACTTCAAACTAGGAATTTTACTCACTTTTCGATATTTAACATAGTTTCCTAAATTGAAGAGTTGGGTCATTGTAACATTGAATCGCGGATATTTCTGGACACACATGGAATGGATTCGAAGGCTTAAATTGGATTTTGAACTGAGAACAATAACTGATTAGCATAGCTAAAATATTCTCGTTTCTGAGACTAAAGTATGATTGGTGAAAGAAAATCGCCTACCTGTCCCTGAAGAGAACTATTCTGAAATATATTGAAATAATGAAAAAAAACATCTGCCACGATGTGTGCAATGAAGTAAATTTTCATCAGGACAAAAGTGCCCATTTTCAAATGATAACACTGGTGCTGACGCGATACATCGATTTACCTATCATATTGTATCGTATTGTATAATATAGCGAGATCGTGTATCAATACTCATCCCATTCAAGTCAGTAAATGAAATCAAATTTTTTTACTGACTTACCAGTAAATTTTTGGTAACTATTTATAAGAAGATGGACATTAACCACTCCAATCAACTACATTACTAAATATGAAAGTTATTATAAAGCTATAAATTAATAAATATTGAAACTTGGAAGTGGTCTACCCCCTTAATACATCTATGACGCAGACTTACAGAAAAAAAATAGAGGTTAAGTATTATTTACTTTGTATTTAAAGAAAATATTTAATAATCTCAAGGTAAAAGTTTTTTAATTCAAAATTGAGAAAATAAATGATGTCGTACAAATGTGAGTCTATTTGATTAGTCCAATGAATGTATTTAGAGAATCAAGAGGGATAGAAAAATCACATATCCATTATTGCTCCAAACATGACAAAATTTGACCCTATTTATCATATACATCATGTAGTTTTACTTTAAACAAAATATTCTCATTAGTTCATTGTATGAACGATATTTGATCAAGTTATCTTAAACCAAAATATTAGCCAAATCAAATAATTGCTGTATAGCTTGTATAGGTTAATGGTCTCAAGCTTGTCAATAAGCCTAATAATGATCGTGGGGCGAGGACCCAAGGTCTGAGTACTATGTCATATTAGACGCGAGACGACTCGCACTTAAGGTTTTAACGGATGCCCTTTCATATAAAACTAAGTAAAGTGGTTGCTATATAAAGTCACTATTAATAGATACTTATTTACATAACTGAAGTTTACATATTAATTCCCACATTTATATGCTTCCAAATCGAGTTCTCAGGGATTGCGTACTATTCCCCCATGTTACCCTACGATGCAGCTAAAATGGTTCAAATCTAAAATTAACAATTTAAAGTTACCAACCAAATACTGTTTTACTCCAACTTCCTTGAGTGGCATTAAGTAATTGATGATATTAACACGAACACAATTATATAGATAACAATTACTTTAATAAATAACTTGAGACGTTTCGACGATGATTCTTTCGTCTTTATCAAGCAATGATACAAAATAACAAGGCATTCAGGATATATAGTGTGGGGCAACAATAACAAGTATTAAAACAATAGGAATACATTAATCAATTATGTAGGGGTAATCACAAGGGTGTGTGATTAGAGAAACCATTAAAGGGGATGTAGTAAATTATTTCGAAGACGAAAGAATCATCGTCGAAACGTCGCAAGTTATTTATTAAAGTAATTGTTATCCATATAATTGTGTTCGTGTTTTACTCCAAGAATTGACTTGAGGATTGTCAATAGTATTTTCATCAGGTGACCAATTACTATATCTTTGTACATCTATAGACTTCTCTCTCTTAATCTCACTTCCTTCCTACATATGAAATAATATGTATAATATAATAGTAGGCCTATCAACAGCCATCATCAATATCAGTATCAATATCAAATATCAGCATTTGTTAACTCTTCACACACTTGGCTTGAATAAAAAAAAAGCTTCATATACCCAGAAAAATGTGTGACATTACATCACCTGGTAACGGCTGCTCCACCAGTCGCTCAGATGCAACTGCAAGTGTTGAAGTTTAAACATTAAAAGATAGCTTGCCAGGCAAGGTAACATACGCCCACTGGCAGCTGTCAGAAATGATTAAACAGTCTTTAGTGACTGCAGGGTTGCACAATATAGCTAATAGAGTGAAACGTCAAGTCAGACACGATATTTCGGTGAAATATTATCCGATCATCGCGAAAATCGATTGGGATCATCTTCATAATGACATTGACACACAAAATAAAAATCAAAAGAATCTGTAAAAAATTGTAGCCTGTAGAGTGAGCACGAGTTGCACAATATAGCTAATAGAGAAAAACGTCAAGTCAGACACGATATTTCGGTGAAAAATCATCACGAAAATCAATAGGGATCATCTTCATAACAACATTGACATACAAAATAAAAATCAAAAAAATCCATAAAGAACTGTAGCCTGTAGAGTGAGCACGAGCCAAATGTGAACGGACGGACGGACCGACAGGGTCCGTCTTACGTGTGGGCGTATAAAAATTGGTAACTGCGATTGCAACACAGATATATATTACATAAATAGTAAAGCAGCCTCTGGTATTGAAAGGGTTAAACATTAAACAAATTTAATACAGTTAGGCCTACCTAATGCAATCCTAAAGTGACAAGTTTTACCAAAATTGTGAAAGGGAAACAGAATAAAAAATTATCCCTCGTCTTCTTCCTCTTCAAATTAGAATTCTTTTTGTCCTTCAGGAAATCGCGTTTGCGGTCGTCTAATTCTCAAATTATTCTTGTGGTTGTCCTACAGTCCCTATACAAATAAACCTTAAATTCGCCAGGAAATGTCAGGAAATCGCGTTTCAGGCAGTCAAATTCTCTACAGGCGTCCCCAAGGGGCATGGTATGATTCAAATGGGAGTCCTCAGCAGCAATAAAGATAGCAATAACTCTTTGGAGAGCACCACTGTAATGAGTAACAATTCACAAAGTTTTCCGGGAGGGGAGGGATAGGCTATCTAAACTGCCCCCACCCCCACCTTGATTGGACGTTTGACCCCATATATCTCTAGCATAGTGGGAAGAACTTGTGTACATGTTCTTATTTTGGAATGAAGCAACTCAGTTTGATTTGCTCTAGTCTATACATGTAGTTTCACCCATTTATAATACATCTATAATAATTGATTTAAGAGTAGAAATTCGATTAATTTTATTTTTTTAATCCATTTGAGAAATCAGACCTGTGATATCTCTATTTATCATGATACAATATCAATATATATTATACAGAAATCACAATAATACTATTTCTTCATTAACATAATCACACCAGTATATATGCTGTATTTCAAATGCCCTTAACTCAATGGTTTTCAATCTCACCAAACTATTTATAAGTTTTTAATTGATAATGATTACAGTACATTGAATTTTCTATGGCATCAGAAATTCGACTATTATAATACTGCATGTTTTGAGAGGAAAATAAGGCACATGGTTACATCAATATAACAATTCAAATAGCAAAACTTTTGTGGAGGAATGATATAGAGTAACATCAATTGTCATGGATACAACAAAATACTTACAAAGTGGCCAGTGCTGTGCTTTATATAAGAGTAATATAAATTCTCTATCATGGAAATATCTCTTTCCAAATATTTTTTTTCATAGGTTTCCACTTGGAAGAAGAAACAAAACGCTTACACACTTTCTTTTTTGCTATAAATCATGATTAATCAAATAAATCAAACACAGAACTATTTGAACTCAAGATAGTAATAGTAGAAAACAATAGCATTTCTATGCCTTAGCCAATGATTTCAGTATAAACAGTCAAAACTTTTTTACGTGTATACAGGATAGCATTGACTTGCACAATTCAAATATTCAGTCAGACAACTGTGGACTAAAAACAGCCGCTTTTGTGATAATAATGTCATTAATAAGGTATTTC